TTGGGAGTGTGATGATGCGACCGGGTTGTTGGAAAGTCATTTTTCAGTCTATCACAAATGAGGTACTAAAGGTAACCTACATAAATTATAGTCGGATCAATAGTTCGTCATGGTTTACTTGAATCAGCCATGACTCCGAAACAGCATCACAAGAACAAAGAGTCCGTTTTATGCTGTATTAAAAAACATGAGCGCATGCAATTCTGGCCAAGATTGAGAGGTATCTGCGGAGCAAGGCTTTGGAGCCGGAGCTAGTCAGAGCCTTCTACATTTTTTATTGTGCCGGACCCGGAGCCAAATATTCTTTAAAAAGTTCTCGGCTCCAGATCCTTTTCTTTTTTGGCTTAGATGTTAATTTATTCAGCTATTCCCTAGAAAGTTTTGAGCTTTTCACTTTGCAAACATTTAAAAATTTTTATATTTCTTGAATTTAACCAAGAGTTTTCTAACACCTTACGTTTGTGTCATACTACCAACAACATATTCCTGACAAATCCGTGGCCGATAATATCATAATATGGATAATGTTTTCGTAGCTTTTAAATACTGTAATAATTAAATTGCTACAACGTTAATTTTGTTTATATGTTAAGTACTGTTATAATCTTTCTTATATAAGCTGAAATTATACTTACTACAATGTCAGATTCTTTTCTATTGCCTATTTTTATAAGTAGCCTCGCCCTAGCAAGAAATATGAATAAATTAATGTAATGCAGATCTGTTTTACAGAAATGTTTGGTTTTATGATCGGGGGATGGCAGATCATGCGTGATATCAGCAAGGGGATAGCTAAAAATGTGACAGGGAGGAGGTAGGTAGACAAAAAGAACTTAAAAATGACATCATATTTGAATGACCCCTTTTCTGCATCACTGAATTTTAATTGAAACGGAGCTATTTTATTAAAAATCAAGTTATTTTTTCTATATTACTACTGTTTTCTGTAGAAGAAGGCTCATCAAGCAAGTCAAACATTCTTCTTTTTTACTTTAAATTTGTTTTGTTCTCATTTCTTTTTAAAGAGCAAACCCAGAAGATTCAGTTGTTTCCGTAAATCCACATTCAAGGTTTTCTGTCGTTAACTCTTACAAATTTATATTTTAGTAGCGAATAAATGCATATATGATTTTTGGAAAGTAAACAACATAAGATACATATAGAAAAGAGAAGATTTTAGCTGGAACCAATCTCATTAAAATCTGTTAAAATTCGTGTTTTATTTATATACGGTGACAATTCGAGGAATCTAACTTGGCATAAAAAGGGCCTAATTTAAATAACACGTTAAGATAACCATTTCATTCTCCAAATGTGTATTTTTACTTTAAAAGTAATCAATAAATTTTCATTTGTGATTTTCATTAGAAAATCTAATTTTTTTAGAATTTTAATATATTTTATAAGTGTGTATTTAATATAAAATATTTATGAAATTTTGTTGTAAAATCCAACTATAATCAAATGTAATCGATATTGTAAGTGATATACGTAATTTACATACATACATACATACATACGGCCATAAAGGCGTCACCATGCAACTCCGGGGAAAATGAGTTCGATTCTGAGGGAAACCTTCAGGAATTCTTTTATTTCCGGATGTCGTGCTCTGTCTCTCATTACCCGACTGCCTCAGTTATGAGCTTAGCCGCATCCATAATGAGCATGAAGAAAAAACAAAAAATAGTCTTAGATCCACGGAAGGAAGAGTTAAAAAATAATAATTTTGATTTATCAAGGAAATTTGTGAATCATTTTCCACATCAAAAATAAAATAGAGGTTAAATCAGTCGTTTCCTTTTTAATTCCGAAGAATGGCAAGAACTAAAATCGGATGTGAAAATCGAAATATATAGCCTATATACTATATATGTAGGCCTAATCGAGATATTAATTAGCGCCAATCAAACTATCTTATCAGTTTGCTTTTCTAAAATACAAATTTACAATTCGTATAAAAAAAATTACGTTTTTTGCTTATCTCTAGGATAGTATACACTCATTTGAAGTAAAGAGAAGGAAAAAAAGAGATAAATGAATACGGTAAGAGAGAACCGAGAAGTTCAAGTAGTAAAAGTACTCAAAATTAGAGGTGAGAAAGACAGAAGCTAAGGCAATATAAAAGAAAAGCAAATTAAGGAATAGACCGGAGAAAGCTCTTACGAGTGACAAATTTTATCCCTTCTTTTTCTATGAAAATAAGATAAATGAAGTTCGAATTGTATCAAGTTTGCAATTGGGTGTTGTTATTATTATTGTTAGCTTTAACTTATGTATTTAATTAAAAGTTTATTCTTATGCAACGTTTTGATAACCTTTATTTGAAAATAAAAAAGGAGAAAATTTTGTTATTCTTATATAAAGAATTTTTTTTGTCTTTAAAAGTTATTTCATAATTAAGTCGTCTTTGTTCCTACTCTTCCATGATTTCCGGACTACGAATGGGACTTATTCATGCACGAAATAAGTGCATATGACAGTAATTGTCGGAACATCTTAGAAAGAATTGCATAACAAAACTAAGTCTGTACTGTACTTCTGAGATCTTGATAAGGCATGAACTTATCCTTTAGTACAGTGCAGTCCGTTCTCTATAATTTCGTGCATGCTTCCGAAATAGTTCTCAAAAGCTGTACATTGCTAATAGTTGTCTCCAGGACCAAATTTATAATAATTAACGGATGTCCATATTATTATTATTAAAACAGGACCGTTGCTTCTAGAGATAGGTAACGCGAAGGGATATATTTTATAGTGTGGGTCGCCGGAGGTATGACGAGGTCGTACCTCCTTTTGTCGGCAACAGGTCGGTTAAACCTGCCCACTTTGTCAGCGGATGGCTTGTTACGTTCTACGATCCCGAAGGGTCGGGATTCTCTTAGTCAAGTCGAGTGGAGAAGGTGAGAGGTGTCGTCGGTAAGGCGCAGGCAATAAACGAGCAAAGGACACCATTTAACAAGAAAATCAAACATTTATTATATAACAAATGGACGATTACAATTATGAACATCGAATGTCTCTCGAGATTTTTTCCCTAACTTCCGAGTACAAGGAAGGGGGCCGAGAGAGAGTCTACACGCTCGAGTTCATACCTCTTGATTATTCCCACGAGGGTTCGAAGGTCCGAAGCTGGAGGCACAGAGTTAAGAAAATTGCGACTTAACGTCGTAGTAAAAGTTACGACTTACTTGTTAGTAAAAATTCCGACAATAGTTCCTCAGTTGGATCCGGCTTCTACTCCTCCGCCGTTGGTGAGAGACTCCCCTGAGGGGGAAGAGGCGGCTTTTATAGCTTCGTGGTGGGAAAATACGTCATGTGATGCCCTATTGTGGGAGGTAAAGGTTATTGGAGCCGGTGTGGAGGTTAAAGGTGTTGACGGAATCAAAATAAAGCGACGAAATCGGACGTTAATTGTAAACTTTAAGTCTTGCAGTGTGAGAATGAGTGCTTGGATGGGTGAATGTTTACATTTAAAAAGAAGGGTTATAAAATTTTCCCAGAGATATTGTTTCTTTTTCTTTTCAAATCTTTAGGCACTAGGAAGGCCCTAATTATTTAATTTGGGAAACATCGCTAAAAATTCCGGAACTCACAATAGCATAGTGGTGAGGTGTCCACTTTATTTCTAAAGCCAAGTACAGTACATACTGCTAAAGCTTTCAATTCATCAAATTATTCAAAATGTTACACATTTCTACTTAGAATTCATACACGATCTTCTGTAACCATGCACAATTAGAGTATTGAAATTTTACCTTGAAAACCTATAGAATGGACAATTGGAAGATATATATCTACTGTACTTGTATAGGCTATGTATAAGTTATATATATGCTGTGTTTGTGTGTTTTAGATTACACATTCCACTGGAATGCTTTCATGAATTTATTCTCAAAAAATAAAATATCTTTACAGGGCTTGCAGGTAAATGAATTTTTTAGTGTATTTAAACAGATTTAAAACACTTACATGATTTGTAGTGATTAGTGACTTATTTATAGTTACATATTACAATGACAGGATTCAGCAATACCTCAGCCATGATTAATTGTGATCATTCTCTATCCACAGAATACGATGATATATTCTCCGACGATTCCTTATTTTCTAAAAAGAAAGCATTATTCTTGCAAATACAGTATTCACTTTCGATAAATTATAGTGTGAGAGTTTTCAGATATTCTAAACGTGTTATATATGTGTATATGGCCTATACTGCACATATATAACGCAACAGTATTCATAGTTAATGCGATATTTTGAAATAAACTTCTGGGTTTCAAATAAGTTATAATTAATTATTTTTGTACTAAATTCCTACAGTATGTATATTATATACATATATATATATATACATTTCTTCTTGTACATCTTTCTAGTGGTCTTATCTTTATTTTTATGGGTATTAATTTCTATTAATTGCATCAAGTGGAACAAATGGCGAGAAAAAGATATCGCATATAAATTTTGTCACTATTAATTAAACGAACTAACATGACTTATCTGATGAAATTAGATGATATTTGTAATCCAGAAGTTATATAAATTGTAACATAGTAATCAAACCGTATAATAAAAGTTACTGAAATATTTATGAAATTGAAAATTTCATAACATCTATTAGGAAGATTCGTGATTTTGCTTAGACTCAAATAAATAAACAAGATCGATTTTATTTTCACTTGAAAATTTTATAAAATACAGAAATTAGAATAAAAAACAATACGGAGTGCCGCCATATTCTAAAATAATCGTGATAATTAATCATCTTTATGATATAACATCCAGAGCAGAAAAATCAATTAATGAATACAAAAGATGATCAAATACAATAGAATTAACACGTTAACGATATGCAAGTAGGCCTACATACTGCTAAGTTTATGAATAAAAAACATTCCTGATTAACGAAATTTTAAAAATATTGTTTAAAAATTATATTTTATAGGCCTATTTTCTAAGCTAAANGCACGAAGAAAGTAATTTAGAATTTCATTTATTAAAACCTGAATATTTTTATTAGTTTGTATTTTACTATAAGTGTATACTGTGTGAATGCTTACATAAATTAAAAGTTCAGTTTACACAAACGAATAAACTGCGAGTGACATTCACCAATGTGATGCCTCATTCTTAACCTTTTTTTTCATCTGTAAATTTCAACACTTCATCAGAAGAAATGCAAAAATCATCTGCATTTTCTTGTGTTAAAACATTTGAACTAAAACTATGAAATTGAATGAAATGTGCATAGTTGAATTATTAAACGATAATGTTTTTCTGAATGAAAAAATTCTGAGCTGAAAAATTTAAATAATTTTCAGAAACTAATCTATTGCATTTTTATTGGACAATTTCTGATTCAAGAGAGGAAGCCATTACAAAACCTAAATATTGAAATGCGAAGGTATGTATATAAAAATATTACATCTTATAAAAGCTACAATATGCAAAACTTTTAATATACTTCTATTTAAAATGAAATTCTTCTTTTGTCTTAAACTACAAACAACTCTCATAATTCCAAACAAATATAGAGCAGCTCATTACTAGAAACTTGCTTGAGACAATACGAAAATCCTCTGGAGTTTTGAATTGTCTGAGTTTTAGAATTGTTAACGATTTCACTTATTTTATTTTCACTTTAATTATCTATTAAACAAATTATTTTAGCAGATTTTAGATTATAATAAATGTATTATATTAAATTTTCATAATAAAAGATAAAAATATCCAATTAAAATTCGAAAATCACTCAAGTGAAATTCTGAATAAATTATGTTCTTTTCTGAACTTTTATAGTGGATCCTTGAGAGTTGGCTATAAATTTTTCCTAATAGATGCTCTTAATAATTTTTCTTTAAATATTCTAATTTGTCTATTATTACATTCCTATATGTTAAAAAAAAATTTAAAATTTTTAGAGAATGCTGAGGACCTTCAAGAAATAGAGAGAAAAAAAATTATCTCACAGCTGCATAATAATGCAGATTCAATAGGAACATCAACAGTAAGTTATATTTTTATTTCATTAAACATTAGTTACAAAATTTATTTTAATTTTTAGAGAATGTAATTTCTAATTAATTAAGTCTGTTATCTTTTATTTTTAATATTTATTTTATGTTTCAAGACTGCAGAGAAGAGAGATAAGTCTTCATCAAAGACTAGAAATGATGATGTGAAACTAAAGAGAAGTGCCAGTAGACAAAAAGACACAATTGAAAATTCAGAAGTTGATGCTAATAATACATCAGCTTTTGAAAATTTGAAAAGAAAATATAATGAAAAAAGACAGAAGTTAAAAAGTATTCAAAAAATAAATGAGAAGTTAATAGAGAAACTGAAGTCTGCAGAAGATGAAAACGAAGACTTGCAAATATTAAATAGAAGACTACAAGATGAAATTTTAGATTTCTTGCAGTCTTCTTCATTTTCAAATGAAACTATAATAGAAAGATTGCGATTTGTAGAAGATGATAATGAAGATTTGAAAACGTTAAACAGAAGACTGCAAGAAGAAGTTTTAGATTTTTTTCAAAAGAACAAATATAATTTATATATAGGTATATTAAAGATTTCATTTTAATATTCATAAAATTCATTTGAAATCGACGATATTTATAAAGAGTAATTGAAATAAACACATAAAATTTAATTTGTTAAATAAAAACAAGTCTTATTTTTGATTAAATATACGACATTTAAGAATATCTACTTGGAAAAATTATGTCCCAATTGTCTATATTTTGAGTTAAATTTCATTGAAGATAATTTTTATTTTGATGGATAAAATTGACTTCAAGGAAGAAATAAAACAAAACAACTGAATTTAGTTTAAATGTTACGATTGAAGTTGGTATTTATGAGAAATTGCAATACTTTTAATGTCAGTGCTTCCAGTTTACATTAAGTAGGGCTTCAAAGTCATTTTCCAATACAAAAAAAAAACTATAAAAATAAATAATATATTTTAAATGTTTAAAAAAGCAATTTTTGTTTTATCAACGAAAAAAAATTTTTTTAGTTTGCTAGACTTTTAGTTTTTATTTATAATTTGTGTTGTGTTGCGTTGTGTGTTTGTGTTTACACTTAGAATCTTTCATAACAAAATTTTAAAACTTCAAAATTTAGATCCACCTTAAAATTTTGTATTCTATGACAATAGTTATTAGAGGCAAAAAGAAATACACCAATGAAAAATAAAGATAAACTTTAGTTTGAAAAGGATATTTTTTCCATATTCTAACATTTTTGCTATTTTTGCAAGTCTTGCTATTTTTCTAAATCAGTAATATTCATTAGTTTTCTATAATATACAGGATATTAAGAAATTAGTCCGACAAAATGAAATGGGTGATAGAGGAAGTAAAATACAAACAATATTGATTCAATGAAACGTGTTGCCTCAACCTCCTTACGACATAGATTCCTAAAGTTTTTATTCTGTGTTGAATAGCATGTGTAGTGCATGCACTGTAAGAAAGCTGCCATCACTGTCACGCGCCTTGTTTCGTGCTGTAGCAGTTTTAGAAACGTAGACAGATGCTTCTTAGAAAAGTGAAAATTGGAACAACAGCAGAGAATGTTTGTTGTTATTTATTTACTGATAACCCACTTTTAATTGTATCTCAAATTTTAAGTGCAGTTAACAATAAAAAGATGGCATTCAAGCAAATACTTAAACAAACATATTCCCCTTTTTGATTCTGGACTTTTATTCCTTATTTATTAAAGTGCAGAGATTTTATAAGATCAATTAAGATAAAATAAAATGTGTGTTTAATTATAATAATTGCATCTCTATGCCAAACCACGTCTTGGCATTCTAATTTGCATTCCCTCAACATTTATTGTCCATTTGTGAAAAACGTACGAACCTTTATGGCATTTAATTACGTTGATTAAATAAATGTTTATCAGACGAAAAGGAAAAATTCACGTCTCAGGAATTAACTGTTATGCATCTTATTTACGGGGACGGTAAATGCAAAGGATGATTAGCACAAAGACTGAATCGTAAACAGTACAAACTGCGCCGAATACCCGCCATTCAATGTTTACCATTATCTACAATCAATTGCGATAAAAGGGATGTTTTTTAAAAGATCAAACAGACAGGAACGACTACGCTTTATAAAAACTGACAACTAGTGACTCAACATGTGGAGCGACAGCCCTTAATAACATCCATGAGAGCTATTGGAAGCATCGTTAGGATGAATCATGTTGTCGTTTGGACTGTGTTACACGAACAGTTGCTCAGCCCTTTCACCGGCATGCAGATTATTAAGTAGGCCTACGGAGCGAGTGGTACAGTATTTAGAACAGTGTGAATTAAAAGAACTCCACGAATAGCTTTAACAAATTTAACAGTAATGTCTGGCTTCTTTGTATGGTATTAGTGAATCACAGGGCAATAACTAATACCAAAAATTTAGGAGTCTGTGTCTCATAACGGAAGCTGCGGTGATCCCCAGTTCATATGATTAAAATAGTTAGTATTGACCCCTTCTATCATCCATTTCATTTTGTCGGTCTAATTTCTTAACACTCTGTACATATTCTTTAATCATATTAAATTACTTTATATCTGCTCTGGTCTATCAGTATTATTAAGAATTTTTAAAATTATTATCATTTCACTCTAATCTTTAGTGATGTAGTCTTCTTTATTCTGTTTTGTTAGTTTCGGCAACGCAACACTTTGGCGAGCTGTCTAGGGGTTGCCATCCGAGAGGTCTTTTAAGCGTAACTGGTCCCTATTTAGGCGATAAAGACGTGGAGAAAACCCGGAAAACTCCACGTGGCCAGGCTGGCCACGTGGAGTTTTCCGGGTTTTCTCCACGACCGAACTACGTGGACGTGGGTTTTCTTACGAACCCACGACCGAACTACCAGTGTTCAGGGTACGAAGACCGCTTGGCCACTGGTGGGCCAAAATTCTTTACGCTGACTGCTTTCATGTGTTCATTAGTATGCTTATTTAATCTGTTCCTTGGAAGTTTTTACAGACATTTCTTCCGCTTATTTTTGTTTCTTATTGAAATGACGTAAACTACTTTCCTATTCCATTTCTTATTGCATATTGTTACTATCCTCTACATCTAAATATTTTTTCTGTTCAGAAAACTTATTGTTTATATACTTATCTTATATTCTATATCATAAAACAAAAATAAAACTGTATTCCAAATTTATCAAACGAAGGAAGTCGCGAGAAGTAGCGCTAGAAGTTTGATGACGCCACGAAATAGTGGCACCCTACTGACTGGTCACCGACATTCAAATGTATTAATTTGTTATTGGTATTTGCTGATTTGGTGATTGTGCTGCGACAAGAAATGTTTTTCACTACTGAACAGCAAACCTTCGTAGTCGAAATTTACATAAAAAAAGCAAAGTTATAGAAAATTAAGACTACTCGACTTATGAGAAAATATCTATTCCAAAAACTATTTTAATAAGTGGCAGTTCACGGGGTCTGGCTATCGAAATAAAGAATTATCATAAACATGTAGGGAAGACACCCAGACATTCGAGTATGCTTAAAAATAAGTCAAACAAAATCTTTCGTGCAGTTAACATCTCTAGCTTAAAGGCTTAAGTTGCCAACTGCTTGGAATTTTCTGAACTGGACGGAATTTCAGTTATTTTTAAAAATTGTTCGGAAAAATTCTGAAAAATAAATGAAGAGTTGTGTGCTTTTTAGCTTGTCCTTTTTCCTCATGAGAAATTGGCATCCCTAATTGTAATCTGAATTATTTTCGTCCGGTCAATTTGCGTTTTTTCCCATTTCCTCTCTTTTCTCCCCTCTGGGCACTAAGAGGACATGTTTTTAATATCCGTCATATATATATTATATATATTTTAGTATTAAGATTTTTGAATGTTATTCCTTGAGTCAGTACTAAGAAATTTCAAGACTTAATTAGATTTTTTTATATAGTTGATATCCACTATATTTGACGTCATCAATTCCGGTTTATATTCTTTCTCGAATACTTTGTTTATTCGTTAGAAAACAGCATTATCAACATACATATTAGTTTCTTTGAAAGAGATGCTAAATAATTTGTCGAGTCGTTTTAGTTGAAGACAATAAAACAAGAAACCGCTTTGGTTTAACGAAAACTGGTCAACACACAAAAACACGCCTATTGTTTCTCACGATGCATACCAGAGCAATTAGCAAGCATAGTCAAGTGCGTCGCGCACCACGAAACTTTGCAGTAATAGTACAATACAGTTATGTATATGTCAACTAAGGACTTTCAGAACTAGGTTAGCAGAATATTATATGGGGAGGATGAATACAGTCTCGGATCAGGATATTATAGTGCAATGGAATCAAGATCAGATTATTGCAACAGCTAAAACTAAATGACATCATCAAAGAAAATGGGAGAATTAAATATCATATGCTGAAAGCTTAAGTAATGATATAACAAAAGTCAGTGTCTCTAACATTGATTACCTGAACATGGTTAGCAAAAAAAAATTATTTGGTTAAAATTTGCTAAAATGGATATAATTAGATTATATGCTTCATAAAACTAGTTTTTGTCATTTCATTAAAGGTTTAAGAGTGTTTTAATGAGATAATTAGATTATTACAGCTTAATAATAACTTGTATAATTTTGTTACCTTCTAAAGGTTGCTTAGCAACAACTTTGTATTTGTCAAAAAATGTAAAATTTATTTGAAGATGAGAGGATAGTCTGAAAGTGCTTATCAGCACTTATCAATTTAATGTTTCCCTGGAGTAAATATATAGTTTAGTTTAACTTGAAGTTTTTGTTATACTCGTATGTATATTTTATGATGATACTGTTTAGTAAGATATAATGAGTGTTAATTGTTATTTTAAAAATGCAATGACAGGTGAAGAAAATGCTAAGTATGGTCTTGTAATAAAAAGAAAATATTCATCTTTAAGTCAATAATGATTTAAGCTCTTACAGCTTTTCATTATTGGATTTAGAATGAATTGAGGAACAATAGAACTTGAGTCAATGTGATTACTGATACTGTACGCAAAATGTCATAATTTAAGAATACCGAAAAGTGCAAAAAGAATATTAAAACAGAAAAATGAGAAATTCAGCATTTATTATAAAACCACTTTTTTTAAACACTTATTTTATATATTGTTTGCTAGTAGACCACATAAAAATAATATAAATAATCTTCATTACATTCATTTAATAAATCCATACTTATGTAAAATGTATCTGGTCTGTTAACTTGAAAATGTACAATAAAATTACATCCTTAACCTTACAATACAATACATTTGCATTGCAATAATCTTAAATCCTTAGCATTGATAGTGAGAATTAAAATATAATTTCTAAGATTATTTTTTTTTTAAATAAAATTTAAATTATGAAAGGGCAATAATAAGATATGATCTATAGTTTAAATTTAATATTTTGTTTGAATTTTGATAGATCTGAAGCCAGAATTTGGATTCTGATTCCTAAAATATATTTTAAGTGTTTTATTCATTTTCACTTAAACATAGTAAATAAAGTCATAAAAATTATTTAAAATGATGCAGGAAACTTAGAAATATTGATATTTACATTGATGAATGAACATAAAGAAGTAAAGTACATAATACATATTTTTAAGCTTGTTATCTAAATAGGAATGCTATATTATAATAAATTACATTTAAAATTTTTATTATGTACTGTATACATAGAAATGAATGTCAGATTGAAAATTGTTTTAAATTTTCAAGTATTTGTTTAACAAAATATCAAATTAGTTCCAGTTTTTAATATAAAGAAAGGAAGGTAATAAAAATTTACAATTTATTTAATATAAATAATTATTATTTGTTTAATTACTTAATATATATTTTTACATCTATAGTATTTCTAATTCAATTGTTTATTTTTTTTTAAACAGATCTAAAAAGAATAACAACATACTACGTAAGATGTTTATAAAGTGACTATTTTGTGAAATGATAGGAATTATAAAAAAAAATCTTTCAGCTACAAGAAAATATATATATACATATAATACATATTTTAGTTATTCATTGCATTTTGTTTATATATGTCTGTGTGTATGTATAAACAAAATACATACTAGATGTAATGGTTAATATGTGGCTACCATCAATGTCTCTACAGAGCTCAAAGTGAACAGCTGTTTTGCAAAATACATGTTCAAGCATTTCAGGTGTTATTCGAATAGGTGCAGATTTCAGAGATCAGCTAGTTCCCTAACTCTTTTTTCTACCTCTGACTTAATGAATCCTCAAGAAGAAAAATCCAAGGATGTTAATTGGGTGAATGTGCTGCCCATGAATGAGCCAATTCAATAACTGGGAAGAGAATGCTAATATAATCCTGAATAATTGTGACATGATGCTTCATCTTGTTGAAAGATTACTGTGTTAAGAATGCGTGCATCTTGCATATTACTATAGAAACTTGTTCTTGCACATGCATTGTCATTGATATGAGTGTAAAAGGAAAATATTGCAAAAACATGGATTCTTATAACAAATGTACAATACATACCATTATGACACTAAAAACTTTTTAAATATTCTAATTTCAACATAATAGTCACTTTAGAACCTGTATATTTTGATTTAAGAACATTGCTGGATAACAACATTATCGTAACAAAATTTATCTTACAAAAGAAAATTTATTGAATGTTATCAAAGCAGAATTATAAATATGATAAGATATATGAATGAAAATATCAAGGCAAAGATATCATAAGAGAATTGCATTTATTTTATTCATTTCATCTACATTTTCTTTACATGATTATAAATAATACAATAAAATAAATTTTATTCTTACATTATTTATTGATTATCTTTTATTAATGCATAATCATTGTTCTTCTTTAATAATTATACTAAGAATAGACAGACATATCAAATGGATCTTTTAACTGGATGTTTTTATTATATTTGTTCATTTAAAAGATAAAATAGTAAAATGCCTATATTTCCAAACTTGGTTTTGCTCTAGTTAGAGTATGGTAATTGAAATTATTTGATATTTGTTTTTTTCTTTTCTATTACATAATAAATGTATAATTTAAATATTGAATATTTAGATTACATCACTTTTTTTTAATCAAAACTTAGGTGCTCTTTTGTGTCATTTAATCCTGATAATTCTAAATTAATATAATTTAACTCTACAATTATATTAACTGTAATAGAATATTTTTACTTACTAAATAAATCCCTTTCTTGTAAATCTTTCTATAGCCAAGAACTGATAGGATAAACAAAAAAATTTTTCTTTATTAATTTATCAAAGTAACTTTTACTCAAAATTTGTAAAATTTTTCAATATGACCTATTTCAGTCATTAGGCAAAGTCATAAAATAACAATCTGTTGCTTTACTATCTAATGATTAAAACTATAACTCAAAGTAATGACATTTGAATTATTTTACTTTGATAATTCAATTTATCAGCATGTACAAGTATGAAATTTAGTTTTTATACTACATCATTTAATAATATCGTATGTTTGTACATCTGTGACTGTGCAAACCATTGTTTATAACTGTGATGAAGTGAGAGCTGTGAAAGCTATGAGGGCTTCATGAACTGCTTTCTACAGTTATAAGTGTTTGGAAAACAAGCAAAAGGTTCAATTCCCATAACAGAGTGCTATTTGTTTTTAATAACTTTTCATGTAAGCACGAAACTTCACGTAATTTCTTCATTCAAATCTTATCTGATTATAATTGTTGTGCAATGAATTTAGCATTTTATCTCTAGAAACTTACAGTATATCCAAGTGTAGTGAGCAAAACTGATTATTTTTTTGTTTCTATATTGTCTACTTGGACCTTGTTTACTATTAGGACTTAAACAAGGTCCAAGTAGCCAACAGAGTATTTTAGATTTATTAATGATAAAAATAATCAGTTTTAATTTTAAGCATTGAAAATAATTTATTTTTTTTAATGTAAACCAATTGAAATTAATTCTATTATAAATTATTTACTTAACCATTAAATTTAACAGATTGATTTAAGTTCTTAAATTTAAATTCTTATAACAGAGTTCTTGGAAATACTTTATTAAAGTGATATTGCTAAGATTTCTGAGGAAAATAGTTAGCATCTCAAGCAGAAAAGTTGATTGTGATAATAGATGTTATAATGTACCAAAAATTGATAAAGTAGTAATGATTTTCTGCTTTGTACATTATTTCACAGAGACTTCCACATTTTATCCATGTAATACCAACAAAATAAGTAATCATTCTCAACATTAAGTTCTCTTCTAAATCCTATGATTTATGTTCATATTTATAGTTCAATAAAGCTTGAATAGTTTTAAGAATTAATATTTTATTTTTGATGGTTTAAAGTTAGTATGTAAGATAGTTTTGTACAGTTTGTCATTATATATTGATCTGATATATAAAAGTGAACTGAACATGCAAAAAATTTAAGAATATAACCAACTCACAATACATATTTGCTGTTCTTTAAATTATATATGAATACCTTTTGAACTATTCATATAAACCATGTAACAATTGAAGAATTATTACAATTTCTTTAATGAATGTGGATTTTTGAGATTTTAGTGTTTCAGAAAATGTTTGTTTATATTAATTAATTCCAGGAATATTATTAGGATTCTTATTCATTATCAATTCATTATTATCACTAACAATTTTTTTTCAGTGATGATGATGATAAATATATATAAAAGAGAAGAAAGTATGACGATAATTATTTATAATATAAAAGAAATTTTCTGACAAATATTTTGTCTATAAACATATTTCTCTACTAATAGTTAATTATTTAAAAGATATTTGCTGATTTACTTTTTCATTGATACATTAGATTGAAAATTTCCCAATCTTAATATTCAATACAAGTGTGTTACATAAAATTTTAATTTGAAATTAATATAAATATGGGATAAAATGCATTTCATCATTATATCATTAACTTAAAAATGTAATGTAATTCTATTTAATTATTACTTGTACCAATGGAAGACAAGAAATCAATATAAATTTTTATCAATCAATAATCATTTCAGTTGAAACCAAGAATATAACAGAATTTATTATTTACATAGCCATATCTTAAGAATGGATTAAAGAAAAAAAATTTGATATTTTAAAAGAATGAGCTTCAAATAAATAATTTTTNTAGATAGAGAAATAAATTATATATATATATATATATATATATATATATATTGTTTTGTTTTTTAAAATTACAGTAAAGATGAAGTTCATGAAACAGGAAGTCGAAAACCTCAGTTATTTAAGGGAGAGCCAAAGAAGCCTCCACAGTAAGTTATATTGATAAGTATATAGACTTTGATGTAATACTCTCATAAAGTACTAATGAATACTAATGAACAGATCTTTTCTATAAATATTAGAAAACTATTCAGCATTGGTAAAATAATAAGTGTAGGATTTTTGTATGTGTTTCAGACAACACTGTTTAAGTTTGGACTTGTGTATAGATCCTATTACTTTCTATAATTTTTATTGTATGAAGTTCTGTTTTATTATTTGTTTCTGATTAAACTGTTGTTTGTTTTATTAGGAGTGGATACAGCTTATTTACAACAGAAATGCTAGGTGCTGTTACTGATGTTGATGCTAAGAATAGAATGGCTGTGACAGCACAGAAATGGAATGCTTTATCTCAGAGTGAGAAAGATAAATATCGAAAGAAAAGTCAAGAAATGATGAAAAAATATAATAAAGATATTGAGAAGTTTATAGCTGTATGTATTATTCTAAATTATTTACTTTAATAATCTTAAAGTTCCATTAGGTTTTATATATGTGGGGGTTAGATGAGTAACGTTCCTAAGCTGTTAAGAAAATAAATGAGGGAGTGTGGGGGAAACGAGTAAGGGGAGACAACAGTTGGTGATGGCGCAAAAAGGATAAAAGACATTATGACAGAGCATCGTCATTCTATCCATAAGATGGTTTGAAGACGGTTGGAAGATTTAGCTGAATGCTGGATTATTGTTACTTCTATTTCTATCATTAAACCTACAAATTTTGGGGGCTCTGCTGGATATTGAGAGAAATTCATACAAGAACTTTTAGAAGGGCAATAATGGAATTCAGACAAGATGGTGGAGTTAGTGACTCTTTGGTGAACAACAAAGAACTGACTGTGTGTCTAAGGACAATAGGGTGACAGATGTGAAACATCTTAAGTGTGCTGATTTGAAAATTAAACTAGGATGACAGAAATTGAAAACGACAGGTAGCAAGAGAGAGTTGGTACAGAGATTGGAGGCGACACTTTTGATTGAGAATGCCAGAGATGACGATGCTGACGAAAGTGAGGACGAAGATAGTAATATTATGCAATATAAAAATGAGTACTCAGCCAATGTTTACCTTTAGAGATGTTGATGAATTCCTTGAAACGTTCAGTGGTAATGATCGGAAGAATGTCGCTAAGTGGATCTCCAATTTCAAAGACATGGCAGAAATGTGTAACTGGAATGGCATGCAGAAGATAATTTATGCAAAACAACTACTCAGGGGTTCAGTAAGAATGTACGTAAACTATGAACAGTGTGCTAAATCATTGAAAGCATTAAAAGAAACTCTTTGCACCAAATTTTCTCCAAAACTGAACAGTAGGAAGATTCACGAGCAACTTTCAACAGAAGTGAAGCATCAGAGTGAAACTTATCAGGAATATATGTATCAAATGATTGAAATTTCATCATAAGATTGAGAAAGAATTGGTAATACAATATATTATTGATGGAATTCAGGATGAACAAGTAAGTAAAACAGTGCTTTATTTTGCTACTACTTTCAAAGAATTTCAACAAAAGTTGCAAATTTACAAAAACATGAAATCAAGTCATAAGCTAAATGCTAAAATGACAGTGAGATTCAAGAAGCTAAGACATGAGATTAAGCCTAATAATTCTTATGAAGATGAAAGATGTTGCTATAACTGTAGCGGGAAAAACCATGTGAGTAAAAGTTGCCCGGAGAAAGATAAAGGAATGAAATGTTTTAACTGTAACAATTTTGGTCATATTTTATCTCAATGCCCTCAAAATGTTGAGAAAAGAAGTTATGAAGTAAAGGGAAAAGAATTTAAGTCAAAGCCTGTAAAAGAAGTCAAAATAGGGGAAGTGGCTTTACAGCACTTATAGATTTAGGAAGTAATGTGAACTTGATAAGAGCTGATGATTATGTAAAGATGGGTGCACCGAAATTAACTGGAAATTCATTGGAATTTTATGGAGTAAGTGAGCAAAAGAGTTCTATACTGGTAAGTTTTTGGACTGTAGTAATGTTGACGAGACCAATTTTTATTTCCTATAGATGTGGTTCCTAGTTAATTCCTTGCTTATCAGTTATCGTTGGGAGCAGACTTTCTGAAACAAGTTCATATCAGTTTAAAAGAAGGTTGTGTTGAGAAAATTATCAAAGCAAAAGATGCAGAAGTAATCCTTTCAGACGTATACAATATTGATGCTGTGTAGACACTGGTGGTGTTGACTTGAGCCATATCAGTGATGCAAAATATAGAGGAGAGTTTCTAGATCTAATAAAGAACTACAAAGCAGTCAGAGAACAAGAAACGGGGATCAAAATGAACATTATCTTAAAAAAATGATGTTCCAGTTTGTCAACATCCAAGATGGCTATCTGCTAGTGAGAAGGCTGAAAGTTAATAAGGAGATGGAAGAATGGTTACACAAAGCATCTGAACAACCCACAGAAGATGAAGGAATCAGAAGGGATATACCTGAAACAGAGTATAAAAAGCAGTCTCCAGAAAAATCAAAAAAAGCAATTTTTAAGCAAGAAAATATTCCTGAAAAGATGGATTTTGTTGCAAGTTCTCTACACCAGGAAACAGAACCAAGTAAAACTGAAGCTTCAAAACAGGTCAAATTGAAGAAAACAAACATAGTATCATAGCTAGGTGCAAAAATGCACAAAAGGAAGGTAGTGAATTAATGGAGATAATTAATAAGATAGAAATGGAAAAGGCAAATGGTTATGAAGTAAAAAGTGGGATTCTGTACAAGGAAATGGATGGGGAGTCATTAATGGTGGTTCCCTTACAAATGCAAGCCGATATTAGAGAAGCGCACAACCAAGGTCACTTTGCTGTTAAGAAAACCGAAGCACTGCTGAAAAGAGACTATTGGTTCAAGAATATGAAGAGTAAAATTGAGAAAGAAAAGGTTCTGTGCTTTGAGAAAGAAAGGGATGAAATTAGAGCAATGGCAAAAGAGAACATTAAGAAACTGCAAGCAGAGAACAGGAAAATGTTTAACAAGAAAAGGAAATACCCCCACCAAATTCTTAGTCAGTGATCTGGTAGCTGTAAGAACACAGTATGGGCCCAGCTTAAAAATCCATCCAAAGTTTTTAGGGCCATACAAAATCAGAAAAGTTTTAAGAAATGACAGATATTTAGTTGAGAAGGTAGTTGATCACGAAGGCCAATGCAGAAGTCTACTTCTGTGTTGGGGATGATGTCAGCTGTCAAGATTGCCGAATGTGGTCGTTAGATGAGTAATATTCCTAAGCTGTTAAGAAAATAAATGAGGGGTTGCTGGGGAGACAAGGGAGACGAGTAAGCGGAGATGACAGTTGGTGATGGCACGAAAAAGAAACAAAAGATGTTACAAATGCCAGAACATCATTGTTCTATTCATAAGACAGGTTGAAGAAGACAGTTGAATGATTATTGTTACTTCTATTTTTATCATTAATCCTACATATATANAAAAATTATTAATGTTAAAATATTTTAATGTTTATTAAATTTAGATTTTTTTCTGAAATGGATTGTTTTGCCGATAACAATTATAGCGCAGAAAATAATATATATATATTTTTGAATTCTAAACATTTTAATCAATTTTACATAAATTAATTTCCTGCATTTTTAATATTTTATTAATTATAGGGTTTATCAGAAGCTGAACGAGAGGAATATTATAGACTTAAAAGTAGAACGAAGGGTTCTAGGTCTGCTGCAAAAGCTGCAAAAGATCAAGCAGCTACAAAACAAGGACAAACCAAGGTATGATTATTTTCATAAAAAGTCTGAATGAATATTGCACAGACTCTTATTGTGGTACACTTTCAATAGACCACACTACTTCATTCACAATAAATGTATGTATATAAAGTATGTATATAAAGAATAGCAATGGATCAACAAAATTTTCATTCTATCAGGTGTATCAAAAGTTCATTGTATTATATTTCATCTTATCATACGGTTTCAGATTCTTTATAAAACAAGTACAATACAAAATATTAAGGTTATCATAACATTGCATAGCAAAATAATTTATTATATTTTGATTAATTTAAAATTTAATGTTTTGTGTAATGAACATTATTATTGAATAGTGAGTGAATAAATTGCATTTGTCACAAAAATATAATTTAAAATATTGATCTTTTGAATAAATCATATATTACAAAACAGTTTCATAATCTTGTTCTCAATTTTGCTGTTCATTGCCAGTTACAAAAGAATTGATCAATCCAGATAAAAATGTCAGATATCCTTAACTAAATTAATAAATGAAACTTCCATTTGATTAATTTATGTTAAATTAATTTCAGGAATATAACAACTACATGATTATATTTTACATTCTTGAATTTATTCAGTTTGACATTGAATTAAACAGTCATTTATATCTGTTATAGACTAGGGCTATATCTTTGACAGCAGCTCAACTCTGATATTTCTTGTTGTTTCACAATATTCCCAGGATATTTTTGCAATTTTTATAAGATGTATTCAAAAAATTGTAATAAAAAATAATAGTAACACAAAAATATTGTTTACTATTAATTTACTATGCATTATTTTAAACACTTAAAATATATAGATGGATGATATTTAAAATAAACTATTTGTATTTCGTGAAGATCTGTATTATCAAGAGTAAATCTTTTAGGTTTCATCATACATAAAATATTTTACTCAACCCGAAAAGAAAAAAAATCTAGAAAATGTAGTTGACATTCATATATATATATATATATATATATTTTTAAAATTTTTATTCACTGCTTTTTTCTATTTTTTCCTTCATCCAAAAATTATCAATTAATATTTTAGAATCAGTTTTTTTTAATAGTCAAAGAAGATTCTGCTAGTGTTTTTAAAAGGTATCAGTTAAACGAAGCATAAACTAAAGAGCATCTTTAATATTGTAGAGAAATAATTTCATCCATAAAAGTCAAATACTATTGTACAAAACAATATTTGACTTTTGTTACTGCATGTAACTATTAATACATACATGTATTTTCTCTTCATTTGATTTTACTGTTATCTTCAATACAGCAATTGCTTATTTATTTATTAAAAAATAAGTGGATGAAAGCTCATACTTTAATACAAAAATATTAAGATTTATATTTTCAAAATCATATCAAATACTTTTAAAAATCGATCTTAAAATAATTTTCCTTAATAAACAAATAAAATTGACAAATCTAATTTTTTTAAATTCATGTATATTATTTGTGTGTGTGTACTTTACCATATAATTTTTCATCCACTAATATCAAAAGTATTTAATTTACTGAATTAAAGAACTATTACAAATTATTGAATATGCCAGTTCAAAAGGAAACAAAGTATGTAAGAGAAAATAACTTCAGTTCACAGTTGATGAGTAGTGGAAAGGAATCAAAGAAATAACAAACATAATATTCATTAATGTACATTGTATCCAAAAAATATCTTCACTAAATAGCAATTTTTAACTCATTCATTTAATAGAATTCATAAATTTTTATTAAAATTCTGATTTTCTGATTTCAAAAATCTTGCTTGTATTATATGCATATTGTCTCATCTTAATTATAGCCAAATAAGAAAGAAACCGAGTCTGAAAGTTCAGATGATTCATCTGGTGACGACGATGACGAAGAAGAAGGCTCAGAAAAATCTGGAGAGGATGAAGAATCCGGTTCAGGATCAGATGATTCTGGAAGTGATTCAGATGATGACGATGATGATAATGAGGATTCAGATGAAGAGAAGAAGGTAAGCTCTCTCATATTGACAGCATAAAAGTTAAAATATTTTTATCTCAATTATCAAAATTTGTTGTTTTAGGAAGGTGAAGAAAGTAGTTCTGGTGACTCTGACAGTGATAGTGACAGTGAAAGTAGTAGTGATAATAGCAGTGAATCTGGTTCAGAAAGTGAAAACTGAACTAGAATTGAAGCTGTATTTAAAAATGGCATGCTCACTCCACTGAAGAATTGGTAAAAATTTGTCCTCAGTTTTTATTCCCTAACCACAAGTGCCTGGTTGTATGGCTGAAACTTGGTTAAAAGAAATATATTCAAAACCAAATCACCAAAGAGAATTATTTGATAATTAAGATTTAATGGTAGCAGGGTAAGATCAGGATATCCTATAAAGAAAAAAAACAAAAGCAATGGTTTTCAAATCATTATAAAAAATAATTAATGTTAAAATATTTTAATGTTTATTAAATTTAGATTTTTTTCTGAAATGGATTGTTTTGCCGATAACAATTATAGCGCAGAAAATAAGAATCATGGATAAGCTGTAGAATCTCAATTAGGATTTTAGAATTTTACTTTTTAAAATCATTCCCAGAAAAATAAAACGAAAAGTAAGTTTGTTGTGATGTTTTATTAATAAGAAATAAAATGTAGAGCCAATGCCAAAATTGTTCCTATCCCATTTAAAGTTTAGATTTAGTATAGGTTGTAAAATTAGGGAAAGAGAAGTAGATAATGTCGTCAATTTGATAAACAAATAAATGTTTTGTTTTGGTTTTCTTTTATATATATTTGTTAAAAATTTATTTACTCCTAAATCTTATTGCTAAAAACTGAAATTGTATATACAATATACATATATCTACAAAATTTTCTTTTGTTAGTTATCAAAATTGTAGGTACAAAAAAATGATTTTTATAGCATTTCTAATTGCAACAACAATGCATTTACTTAAAGACTGATACATTTGGCTAATTGGCTTTTATATACATCTCTGCATTTATATTTTAAATCAGCACATTATAGATAGATTTGCCATAACAGAAAAAGCATGAAGAAGAAAGAATGTTTTTATCTTATTTTGATCTGCCATTTTGTAATGGGTTAATGAAATGGTGAGCATGTTTATCCATTATAAATTTTTTTAAAGCCATTTTATTGATTATTCATTTTATTAAAATATATTTCTTAGCATAATTTAAACCAAACAGGAAAGATAAGATTTCATATTACTACTTAAACGAACAACGTTTTTCAAATGTTAATTAATCATAACACTGTGTGTTTTAGAGGGGAAGAAAAGAGATATGTAAAACAAAAATATAAATCTAGTTGTATGCACTGGTAACATTTTTATTTAAATTTTAATTAAAATATTTTTATATTTTTGGCTATGGGCTTTAATAATAATATTATTATTAATAATAATAGTAGTGATGTCAAATGGATGTAAATTGCTTTGGATGATTTACCATTTTTGTAAACTCTTCTTGGTATATTGTTTAATGATTCATCAATTAAAACATTTTGTTATATCATTTTACATGTTTTTGAATTACTATTTACATCACAACAAATTTACATCTCCATTTTTCTATATTTCTAACTGTTAGAAATTGATATGAAATGTAAACAAAAAAAAAATTGGTTGCATTTTAGTGGCTGAACTTATTCTGCTTAAAACTACATTTTATATACATATATCATAAAAATAATTCTGCTAATACGTAGAATATACCCTTGTCCGAATTTTTATGTAGGGTATTGTAAAAACAATCAGTTTTGATATCCCAAAAGTGCAGAAACTTTATTTCCCTTGCTTGTTACTTTATTGTGAGTAAAATAAAATAAAAAAATCAATTGTCATATTCTGTCTTGGAATTTTATTTTTTCCTTCTTTAAAAAAACGAATTTTTTCAAGGAACACTACTTATAGAATTTGAACACTATAGTTGCTGTATTAATCTTTGCCATAAATTGTTTCTATCATAGCATTTAAAGCTTTTTGCACCAAACTATTGTTTGTACATTGTTTAAAAACTCTTTGGACACAAGTTATTCTAATCCAAAAATATTGGGTTATGTTCTCTCATATCTTCAAACTTGGCTGCCAAGAAAATTCACACTGTTACCAGAGAGACAATTGGTAACTCCTTCACTTGTTAAGTTTCATTTAATATATTCTCTATTTTGGATGAACTTCAGTCAAAAACTATATTAGATGATGGAACAAATATCTTTTACATCAGTGCTACAGCTCATACATTACAGGAAAGAATTAGAGACATAAGGGTTGTATATATATATATTAAATAATAGAATTACAATAGAATTCCCTAAGCTAGTAGTATCAGAAGGCTATTCCAAAGACCAGGATCTTATCCAACTAAACTGCTATCACATGAAATCCCTAATTTTTCTTAGAAAATCCTTAAAATTCTAACACAAACATCAGCAAATGACACCAGGAAACATTTTTGTGATTTAATTTTTTTCACACCACCACCCTTTACATTCTTTCAAAGCTTTTTGTACCATGTATTGCCCAAAGAAGCTTTATGTATCAAGCAAAAATGTCTGCCAAAATTTTTTTTTTTTTATAATATTACTGTTGTTATTTCATTAAACTGTTTTCGGTAAGATTTTTAGTTCGAGTATACATATTTTTACAATTTGTCTACACAAAAGGATGCAGATGCCATTGCAAAAGGATGATTACATTTTCGCACGGGTGCAGCTACCTCAAAATATTTTTCTGGAATCCCTTTCTGATTTAGGTTCAACAGGGCATCCTTACAACTAAGCGCCTGATTTGTATTTGTATTTGAAATACCAATCGAACGGCCGATTATTTTATTGGGTTATTAAAACTAAATAATTACTAAGCAATTTGGCAGAAAGCAGGCGGCAATTTCTTGTTAAATATAAAATAAAATTATTCTTTCAGAATATTCTAAAATTAATTCATATTTAACAAGAGAATCTGTTTAGCATGATATTTACAAACCATTTCCAGAATTTTTCTTTTGGAAATGGTTTTTAAATGTACCAAACCGGTTCGAATTCGAAATTTCGGTAGTTCGCACCCGGCTCAAATTTCACGTCTTAGTGACGTAGTTTCCGGAAAATGCTCAGCGAATTTTTTCCCACCAATCAGAACGGTAGATTTGTTAACGCAAAGAGAAAGGGAATATCCGAAACGGCAGCAATGAAATTTGCGTGTTCATTATAATTTTAATATGTAAATTACCGTCGGCCATTTTAAACAACTTCACTATCTGCTCAAAACCGGTTTTATTTTTGTATTTGATAAAATCGCGGTTTTGTTTCTGGCACTAGTATAGAAAGGTTTCAAGTCGACATCACACGACGTCGAGAGCATGCCCAGTTCGGCGCCATCTTTGTAGTTTGTTTACGTTTTATCTGTTTTTACTCGCGCTTCAGCTGCAGTTCTTGTGTTTATTCGTCGCGATATCACTGGTGAATTGTGTAACTAGTTCAATCAAGTGTGAGTTTTTAGAATGTGTAAGACAAAGTATTACAACCAAATTACGAGGAACGAACAGTTTATCATCAAAGTTGTTAATTAACAGGATACCGATGCCCGTCACAGAGACGAAATTAACAGATATAGTTACAAACAGGTCTCTGCTCTCGTTCAGTTTTCTTATATAAATTTGATTACGTGATCCTATTATAACTAAACTACTTATAACTAACCTTAACCTAATACTATGACTAATAGAAAAGATGAAGAAAGAAGAAAACGGGGTCCTGATCTGGGTGGTCGATCACTGTGGATGTCCAATCCGTTAACATCGGATTTTATACTGTGCCTTGGGTACAGTATAAAATCTGCACCGAGGTATCTCTTCAGACTTTACCGGAACGAGTCTCTTGATTAGTTTTTGACTCTGTGACCCAGCGTTGCCAGATGTTTTTTGCCCTTGTAGCCAAATAATTTTTAAAAAGTAGCCAACTGCTCGAGCAGTTGGCTACTTTTGTACCAGGTGTTGTTCTACCTAGTACTTTTGTACAAATCTAGTACCTTTTTACTTGTCCCAGTACCAAGATACCCAACACCATTTTCCTAGTACCATTCATGAAATCCTAATATTTTTCCTTTCAAAACATTCATTTTTATTGTATATTTCTGTATTTTTTTTACTTTACTTTGACAGTAAATAGATGTTTTTATTGCTTCCTCATTCAAATGCAGAAGTTGAACGTATTTTTTTGCAATTAAATTTAATGAAAACTAAACTACAAAATCGAGTTCTTACAGCGATAAATGTTAAACTTGGAAATCATCATCTGCTTCAACCATACAAAAACATTCTAGTGAAAAAGATTCTGATGATGATGATGATCTTACCAGTGATTTTTCAACGTGATAATTTCAAATTTTAGTACTTCATGTTCATTTTGCTCATTTGATTGTTGTTGAGGAATAATAGCATTCTTGTAATATATGAATTTTGTATGTTACATGTAACACTATATAAGACATTTACAAGAAGCTGACATTGGCAAACAGTTGCAATTAGCGTAACGTTATTTGTTACTAATTTTATCAAAAACAATTAAAATTTATAAAAATTACGCCCTAGTAACCATGTTTGGTACCATTCCGTATAGCATAGCATTTACCATTAGTCATTTTTGTTTATAGATGCATTTTCTTTTCTTATTTCTTTCTTTCTAGGATATCATTTATCTGGAATTTATATTAAATTTTCTTTAAAAAATAAGCTATTATAAACTAAAAAGTCTCCTGTCAAGCATGACTGAATACTTACTGGAGCTATCTTTTTAAAAAGTTTAAATTTAATTAAGTAAATTTAAAATTACGCCATTTGCCAAAATATTTAAAAATGCAACTTAATGAGGAAAATTTCCCCAAAGTATTCTCGGTCCTTTCGGAAAGAATGGCTTCAAGAAAAAAATCTTAAAGGTGCTTACCTTTAAGATTTTTATCTTGAAGCCATTCTTTCCGAAAGGACCGAGAATACTTTGTCCATTTTCCCATTTTAATACCAATAATAAATAAATTATACTTTGTTTAAAAACAAAACGAGTAGACAGCGCAACAAGTATTACCGTTCTGTGGGCAAAACAAAGGATGAAATAATTTGTGTAACCAGCCCAAAATGTAGCCAATTCAAATTTCTGTAGCCCAAAAAGTAGCCAGGGCGACATATGTTTTTTTTTTAACGCCAAACTGAAAAATAAGTGGCCCAATT